TTGTTTCAGTTTATTTATCAAAAACATCCTAGTAACGTAATTCCTATCTAAATTATTACGTCGAATTAATCTGCTAATGGACGGTAACCAACTTTAAAATATTTTTAAGGTGTGGTGTAAACCAAGTATTGTCAGTAAATTTTACATTGTGAACTTACCCTTATTATAACTGAAATGAAGAAAACTGCTGTTTTAAGTTGTTTTTTTTTCCATTACAAAAAAGTAACCAATACGTGTGAAAGTATTGTCACGGATATTTTATATGAGCCAGAACATGATTCAGTGTTTTGAAATTGGACACTACTTTGTTATAAGTATTTCTTCAAGAATGAGTTCATAAATTACAGTCTTACACAGTAGGTTCACGAATGGCAATCTTTGGGACATTATTTTCTTGTAAATTGTCTACTAATGTTGAATTGGAAAATAAGAGCCACTCAAGAAAAAGGATGAAAAACGGTAACAACAGCATACTACTTTATGATTACAAGTAGTCTAACATTTATCCTAAATTTAAACATTATTTTTGGCGATTAGATAGGTGGCTTTTATTTGAATCATGAGGGTTGTGAACGAATCAGTAAATAAAATATTGGATGTACAGTTTACAAAAGAGAAGTTAAACATATTGACCCATAACTTATGTGCTCTAGAATTGTGTAATCTGTGCGTGAAGACACACAGGTTAGTATACAATCCACCATTAAAGACTGGATTTTATATTGTGTCAATACATGATTATTCTGTCCCTACAGTCTGGTTCTCCATTGTCGATTGGATAACTTGTATCTGTATATCATACAATTCAGCACAATGATCTAATTATTTAGTATATCGATCACATGATCATTTATATAATTCAGTTCAGTGTTTAGTGCATCAAAACGTATTATCTATTTAATAATTGAATTCATGAGTCAATTGAAACTAGACCATCATGGAAAACCTGGAAGCACTGATAGGTCCTGGGTTTGAATCTCGCGACGTGGGATCATGGATGTGCACTACTGAGGAGTCCCATACTAGGATGAAACGGTTGTTCAGTGCTTCCAGGTTTTTCATGGTGGTCTAGCTTCAATTGACTCATGAATTCAATTATCAAATTACTACAATCTCCACAAAACCCCTCTGATTAGTATCTATTATTCAGTAAATGGACACGAATGATCTTGGTTTTTCACTTCCAAAAGGAATAGTATTTTCAACAATGTAGATTGTTAGGTCATAGTTGAAATTATAAAGGCGAAAAAAAAAACAAAAGTAGGCCATGTTTGTCAAAACGAGCTGATTACTAATAGTGGTTTAAAGCTATAGGAATGTAGCTATTCGTGTTCGATATATTACTAGGAATACTTTTAAACATACTATGTAGTACTGTATATTTATGACATTGATTCTACATTTTAAGTAACTTGGCTGGTTTGGTAGAATGTATGTCACAACAGCTGAATAATCAGATTCATGCTTCTATTTACTTATCGATATGCATTTATCAGCGAAATAAAATTGCTTTGTCTACATATATACATAGGTTGTTCTTAGTATTATAACAACGTTATTTTCTCTGATTTATTTATCTTCAACTACATGAAGATTTACTTACTTACACCTGTTACTCCCCCCCAATGGAGCATAGGCCACCAAGCAGCATAATTACATGAAGAGATAAGTGAGAATTCATCACATTATAGGGATCAATTGAAAATAAAAACCATCGAAACATTCTACAATCTATAGAGAATAATGTGGTGATTCTAATCCATTCCCTCAATTAATTATTGATCGCTTTAATAAAATGTCTTCTATAGTGAACTTAAGAATTAAAGACAGACAAATACTCTTCTTTAGTTTACCATAAATTCTAGAAAGAGAAATCAGTTAAATATACCTATACTTTGGTAGTTTTCAACAGTTTAATTGATGGTCTAGCTTCAACTGACTCATGATCTTAATCATTGAAGGTCCTAATTCACTTCAGCAAAATATCCAGTGTTTTCCGTTCATATTACTGTTCACTTACTAACTAATTAGTAATTAATCTTTTATCTGTATTTAGAATCTAACCTTGAATACTTTAATGCAGAAAATTTCCTAAACTGAATATAGTTAAGTCAGTAATGTAGATAAAACTTTTGATCGTTAGTAAAGAAGTGGTTGAAAATTTCACCTTATTTAGTTGTGCTAACGAGTGAGATGGACAAGTCGATGGAAACAACTGAGTAGAGTTACTAATCAGTCTTACAAATATAAGAGATTAAAGGTAGAAATACTTTGAAATCAACATAATTTCTGTTCTTAATTCTTTAGAATTTGTAGCCGACTCATTTCATATCACTTTAAACGTTTTATTACATTCTTGCTAGTTGTAACTTCACGTAAAGCCTCTCTAGATCTACTGTCGGTCGTAAGCCCATATAAAAAAGAGGCCTAACAACTCTACCTCGTAAAAATTAGCCACTCTATGAGATCGCTAAACATGGGAAACCAGTTACACTTTGTTCTGGGGGTTGACGGGTTTCGATGTAGAGGAATTGTGACGCTACATGCTGAGAGCCAAGAGTCTCTGGATATCATGAGGCTTAATAATCATTTGGCAATTAAGATAACAGTAGAAATATGCAAATGGGATACCCGAACAATTTTGATGACAAGGAGAATCACTAAAATAGCCGCTAAAATGAGAAGCTACAACCTGAATCTATTTAGAATAAGTAAAACCGATTGGAACCAATATGAACATGAGGGATTAATTTTAAGAAAGATGATCTTGTGTTGTGGTTGAAAAGCAGAAAATATCACACCTACGCAGAGATTTGCACCGGTAAGGTTCAAAGAAGCGCAGCATGCTCTTAAAGGATGGGAATCTTATGGCTCTTAGAGCATCAAAGCATCCTTCAAAACAAAGGAGGAAAAAATTTCAGAGTGCCTTTAAGTTCTGCTCACCCACCAACAATAGCGCTAAAGAGGATAAAAATTAGTTTTATGAGAGGGTGTGGTCCATCTTAGAGGAATAATACGAAAAATACCTGACCACCTTAACCAAGGATTTTAATCCAAGGGGCGGTAAAGACATCACAGGGTATGAAGACATCATGGAGTGACATGGGCTGGGAGAAGGGAATGAGAATGGTGAGAGCCTTATAAATTTGTGTGCTTTTAATAACACAATTTGCCTCGCAAATGCGTGGATAAAGCTATGCAGATTTCGTCGGGCCATATTACGAAGAACCAGACCGGTCACATATACATGAAGAAAAAAAACTCCGAAGGACTATGGAAAACCTAAGAACAAAGAAGAGAGCTGATTTAGACACAGATCACCAACTGGTGGTAGCCAAGACGAAACTAAAGCTAAAGAAGCACTGAAAAGTTGAGCAATCAGCATTGTTAAAGCTTACCAAAGAATCCCTTACAGGTGCTAACAGACTTAGAAAGTGTAGCATAGCTGCTCTCAGTAACAAGTCTCAAGTCTTACAAGATTTACAGAGAGAAGAGAGAATCACTAAGAAGAACAACTGGAAATGAATTAAGGAAGAGGTAACTAAAACATACTAAAAGGTCATGGACCCTGAGTAACACCAGCATAAAGAACATATCTCTATAGTAAGCTTGGGCAAGACACAAGAAAGAGGAAACAAGAAGATAGTAGTCAACAACAGATAAATAAAAGCAGAAAAAGTCAAAACATGAGCTGGATATACCAAAACAAACAAGAGAGTGAATAAGTTATGGTGTCGGGAATTAAAAGCAGACATCAAGAGGATGAACAGTATTTGGGAACAACTGAAAGGGAAATTCCAGGTTTTAGTTCGTTGGAGATCTCTATCTAGTCGAAGACTTATGCCCCATAAAAGGTAGACGGCTTAGTTAAGACAGTAAGTTGTCAACTATACATTTTAATTTGTTTGTCCGTCTTCTAATTGATCGAAAATTTTCCAAATACTTCCTTTAAGTTTGGTACCTTAAACGCTCATCTCTATTTAATCTGTTGCTACAATATATCCAAAATATAATTGTTATAACTTGACCGCTGATTAGAGAGCAGTGACTTATCGATCGAATCAATGATTCGTAAAACCGTATGAGCAGTCTAGAGTTCTGATTGGCCCTGATTCCTGTCTAGCCCAGCCAGTTAAGTTCAAAACGCAAGTCTCGGCCTCTGAGATATGAATCATTATATTCCAAGCATACTGAGTTTATATACCAATCAAACCGACCACAACGTACCAATAAAATATGAAACAACATTTGTACAAGAATTAGTCAGATGTGGCTGTAAATGAGAGAGGTTACGATTAACAGACAGGGAATAGTTCATGAATGGTAAATTGTATAATAATAGTTCATAGATCAAAATAAAGCTCATAATAAGAGGGACATGAACAGCTTAGTTACATAACAATTATACGATAAAAATATACTCATAATATCGGTTCATAAATGGATCCCAAAAACTACCATTCATTATTTTTATCAGGATACAACAATAATCTTCTATGAATAACATTGAGTGATTTATCTACGTTATTGGCAAAAGAAAATATATGAAATGATGTTTGAATTCAGATCTTAAAAATCTCCAGATCAAAATCATTGATCCATATCATATATCATTTAACATGATTTATTAGCATATATTTCAACAAATTAATTGATGATACATACATGAAGCCAAATAGTGTATATGAGAAAAATGAATAGGATCATTTTTAAATATTTGTCCTTTAATTTGGACACTAAAACGTATTCATGTTCCACTTTTTTTTCTCTCAGGTAACTTGAAATTTGTACAATTAGATCATAGTTCTGAAAAATCGGATCATGATCTGAAAATTTTTTTATTATTGTTGTTGTTTGAAATTTATAATTAAATCTTGATAATACACACACACACACACACTTGGTTTACACTTTAAGTATGATCAAAAATCACATAGAAACAATCATCAAATATGTATATATATATACTATGACATCATTCACTTATTGTCATTTTAATGATGTTTTATTTTATATTTTTACTATTATTGAACATTGTCTGTAACTATGGAGTAAATGCTTTGGAGAATGAAAATATTGAACCGGTGTTTGAAAAATTGATTGAATATGTGAATCAAAATGTAGGTAATTTGTGAACTATGCTTTATTTTCAGAGAAGGGTTTTTGTGGATATTATAGTAAGTTAATAGTTGAATTGATGAGTCAATTGAAGCTAGGGTATCATGGAAAACCTGGAAGCACTGAACAGTCGTTTCATCCTAGTATGGGACTCCTCAGTAGTGCGCATCCACGATTCCACCTCGCGAGATTCGGACCCAGGACCTATTAATATGGCAGGGGGGGCGAGATCGTGGATGCGCACTGCTGAGGGCGTAACGGCCGTCCAGCGCTTCCAGGTTTTCCATGATGGTCTAGCTTCAATTAACTCATGATCTTAACCATTGACATTATCATTTATTAAACAACTGTTTACAACTATACATTTTATAGATAAGACCATAATCGGCGAGACTATAATTTATGGACGTACTAATCAGGTATAAGGTAACAGGTTTCGGATTTTGGCACGAAATTCACTCATCCATTTGGCTAAATAGAGTTTTAACATTTTAGCTGATGTTAGTTCGTGACGAAAACCTTAAATCTAATTCCTAACCTTAACCATCAACTGTTAATCACAATTCTTATCCTTCACACTGGTTTAAAATCATTATTTAGCCCTCGTCAGTAGGTGGACATGCTCAAGGCCACTTTAGCGTCCCTCAAAGGTCGTCCATAAATCATAGTCTCGCCCCAAAATCTCGAATATCATCTTATCCATCATTCTAATTCTTTTTTTTTTAGCCAGGCTTTGGATGGAAAGCAGGAATTAATAGTCGTTTCAGAAATTTAAAAGATACTCAAAAATTGTTTAGAAATAACATTAAAATTAAAGATTCAGGTGGAAAACAAATTCAAACAATTTCCCATAGAAATGTGGATATGGTTATACCTCATTCATTTGATGCAAGAGACCGTTGGGTAAACTGTTCAACTATCAAACATATTCATGATGAATGTTGCTGCAGAGCAGATTGGGTAAGTCTGAAAAGTATCTCAGTTTTCTTTATATAAACGCTTATGAATAAAGTGTGCATTTATCAGTGTGGAAGTTTAATCATCAATAAACTTTGAAGAAGGACAAATCTTGATATGACCATGACAAATATAAAACTTTGGTTCAGTAGTAAACCATGAAAACTGTCGGTTTAAGGACAACGTCGCCTAAACAAGCTGCGTACAGTTTTACCTCTTTATACACCACATAATCCATTTTTCGTTAAATTAAAATCTTTGTAGTGGGCTATGAGTAGAGTAGTTAGATTTGGCTAGAACGCTTCTTTGCTTCCAATCGACTTACCATTTCTCCTCAAAGGTTTAAAATGGTGTAGGACTTACTTTACATACAGATATCTTTTTCAAACACGTTCTATAATAATGTTTAATCGCAGAGCCCGGGCTTAACAACTGCTATCAAAACAGGTAAAAATTGACCAGTAATACATTATCTGTTCCCGGAATATAAATTACTATAATTAGTACAAAACTATGGAGTGAATATAGTTGTGAAAAATTGTTTCAATTCTTCATTGTTCTAATCATAACTAATACACTTACCGTCACACTATCAATTCGTACATTTTACTCATTATGTTTAGTTATGTAATCTATTTCATTTTTGTTCACTAACTCATAATCTACCCTGATCAATTTATTCGTTTCATATATGCACATAAATATTATTGTATATCAGAGTAAAGCCTGATGGGTACAATCTTTATTGATTGGTAATTAACTGAAGATGGATCAAATCAAGATCAGAGTGAGACTGAGTGGTGGGCATTTAAACAGATGTTACTGACCACTTTATTTATGAATTATAGCTAACAAATGGGATGTTTGTCTAGAGGATGTAAGATTCCATTTTGAGTGAATTGTTACCATAAATATTGGTTGTTTAGTACTGTTTTCCAAAAGATAAAAAACCAAAGATATTTTACCTAGTAAATTTATTATAGAATAACTAAGTAAACTGTCTCATTTACTGAAACTTTGATGTTTTCATGGTTATAATGAAATCTGTAACAAGACTGTAACTACTGTCCATTAGTATTCATATACTGATCTCGGAAATTTCTTATTATTTATTTAAATACTTTGAGGTGATCTATCATTAGATATTTGATCTTACAACAAAGTCGGTAATTAAAAGTAAGGAGGAAACTATATGTCCTTTATTTCTCTGGCAAAAGGACATACGATAAGGAAGTGAAATAAATATTATGAATTTATCTGAATCTTCACTGGTTGAAATCATGAGTCATTTGAAGCTAGATCACCATGGAAAACCTGGAATCACTGGACGGCCGTCTCGTCCTAGTATGGGACTCCTTAGCAGTGCGCATTCACGACCCCCCCGCGAGATTCGAACCCAAGGACCCACCAGTCTCGCGCCAGGCGCTTAACCAACTAGACCGGTCAGCCGGCATCCAACGGTGTTAATGTCTAACTTCAACCAATCCACGAAGTTGCGCCACCGTACACCATTGTCTTCAGTGAGTTCCTATCTCACAACAGACCTGGTTGAACTCCATTGGTAACGGCCTCTCATTAGAACCCTGAATCTCTTGTTAGATTACTGTTTCATTTGTATAATCAATTAATTCAGTAGATTTTTTCCCGAATATTTTTTTGACTTCTATTCATTTGATTAAAATATCTTCTCAGTAACTAAACTGGGAATTTTTTGGTTTTGTTTAAAGTAATTTCTTTCCATAATTCACATTCATATTACTTTATTTGTCAAGTGATAAGTGGAGATTTATAATACTTTTTTTGAAGACTTTCTCATTAAAGCTAGTCAACGATTACTGAACAAATATTTCGATTCGGTCCAAGACTCTTTTGATATGCAAATCAATACTTCTCATACCAACGTACTCAGGATCGTCATGTTTCAGTGTGAATAAGATAACATTCGGTTAGTTAGTTATACTATGACAAATCACTTTTTCCTAAGTTCAATCTGTGACAAAACTACATCGACGAAACAGCTTGTTCTTACTAAGAGGCTAATACATAATATTGTATGCACGAAATACAACTCCAAAAAGCTCTTGAAAAAGTTAGGTCTGAAAAGTTGTTCACCTTATACCATAGCAGGATGTAATTGGATAAATTAAGCTTAAAGAAACTACAATTGTTTAGTATTTATTGATGAAATTTGTGATCGGATACAACAATTTAATTGTCCGGTTTTTCATATTAAAATAAGAATATATAATAATTGTATAAGAAGCTTGTCGAAACGCTCAACCGCACAACTGAAATGCACATGAAATCCAAGTTCAAAACAAAGATTCATTGAGAGAACGGTTTAACATTGCAAAATATATGTGAATTACGTCCAAATATCTACTTTCAAGTATTCTGTTTCAGTTAATTTGTCTGCATATATGGAAGAGAACATGTGTTTTACGATAATTACATTAGGATTAATTACAAAATATGATCGAGTAAATGACATCTGGTAGCTGTGTCTAACATCAATAATGACTATCGGCAAATGGAAACAAACGGCACACACATGGAAGCTGTTAGGTTTAAAAAACCGCAAGTACTTGCAGTAAGTGTTGAGAGAATATGTGACTGTTACTAGTTTATATAAATACTCAGGACTATTATACGATCATATGTTCTCAAAGGTCATTAGAATTAAAACTAGTTACTGAATTTTGGCAACTAGTATAAAGTAATACACAGAAAAAGAGTAGTGTTTATAATAAAAAAAGCTAAATCTTAAGCTTATTTGCATATTATAGATGTTGCCGTAATTTCTTGCTTAAATTTTTAATTTTAAACTTCTACTAATTTACTATAGGCATTTGCAACGGTCGACTCAATTAGTGATAGAATTTGTATTTATTCAAATGGTAGAGTTTCTGTACAACTAAGTGCTCGTGATGTTATAAGCTGTGGTTTTAGCGCAGGGTGTTCTCATGGAAATGAAATAGAAGTTTTAATGTACTGGATTGTAAATGGTATTGTTACCGGTGGGTCATATGAAGATCAAAGTGGCTGCCAACCTTATCCTTTTTCAAAATATCCTGAGTGCAAAGACGTAAATTATGAGTTCCCACTGTGTACGAGCGAATGTCAAGATGGTTATAATAAGACATACGAAGACGATAAGTTTTATGGTAAGAATATTAAACAAGTAATGTTTATCAGTTACATTTTAAAGAATACATCATTTAAAAAGGGATAAATAATTCACATTTTCCAGTGATCACTTCTTAATTTGGTTTCAGACTTTTATGTATCATTTCGGTTTGGGCACCTGGGCAGTATCACAGCCCTCACACAAACCGAATGATTTATTCCTATGTATTGACGTTTACTTTGTTAAGAAGGGTGATAGTTCTTTTTTTGTAGTAATAGTTATGAGTATAATTTTCCTTCACGACCTATGCCACTTACAGTTTGTTAACTTGGTCATGTGTCTTAAGGTTACATCACTTATCATATACACAGTTGTCCTACGTTCAGTATTAAGTTTTCTTCTGGTTGGATTCTCTCATTAAGGTTTATTATTGAAGAATTGTGTATTATTTTATTTTTGCTAAAATTCTTAATCCTTCTTAAATACCAATTAATATAGACCTGTACTGAACCTAATCTAAAGAAATGACACATTAAATTCATTTAACTTAAGTTTGACTACTTCTCTATACATGGTTTTCAGATGTTAACAATCCATATAATAGATATTTTTCTACCCAATGTATGGTAGAACTTTTCTATTTGTTATGAATTCCTTGACGATGTTGTTGGAATCATGAGATTGATTGTAAGGATTACCAAGCTAACTTTGAATTCGTATTTTGTTAGTTGAATGTTTAGCGGCAGTGCTTAGCGAAAAACCTATTAGTTTCTAAATGATAATATTTGTATGTAAATGTCGATTAAAGTTAATCCTTATCATTTACTTAACTAAGACTTATGACCAAGTACTTTCATATTAAACAGTTACAGTCATTACCTCACTGACGCAACATTTTTAGTGAGACAGAACAATTATCAAGATCTATTAATCGTAAATGGTGGAATACAGATACGTCGTGAATGAAACAATTATACTCAACAAGAATGGATGATCGTTGCGTTATGTCAGAAACTGATTGAAGTTTAAATGGTACCATTAAACGTCGACCAATCAGTTCCAACGGTTAGGCGTGGAACGCTGATATAAACCGTCAGCTTGATAATAGTAAGCGAATAGATCGACAAGAATAAACTACGAACTATGAACGAAACGACTAAAAGATAAATATACTAAGCGTTAAACGATGAATTAATCGACACCAGAAAAGAGAATAGTGTAGGAACCATTGCCTATTAACTAACCAAGATAAAATTAACTTCACTAATTACTTATTAACTGTAGTCAAATTTCAATTTCTTGTCGGGATGAAGTGCGAAACTGTTTTAAAATCTCTCCTCATGAAAAATCAATAATGAAATAACAAGACCATCAACAACTTAAAACGACTATTGATCACCATGAGATTGATACATTCAATGCATTAAATATTCAACGATTCGCATGGGGCGACATTTACTTATTTATTTCAACGCATAGATATTGGTACAAAGAGGCACCAAACACATATGCGCCACACAAATCTCATTCGATATGTGTGAGGGCTGTGATACTGCCCGGGTGCCCAAACCGAAACAGGGGGCGACAAAACAATTTCAAAATGAACTAACAGTTCAAACAATAGTAAGATAAACAAAGGAGTAAATAAATTCATTTACTTTAAAGAAGTGGTTTATATTAAGTCATGAAGCGTTAGAAATACAATTTTTTCTACCTATTGGGATATAATAAAAAGAAAACAGACTTTATTTATTTATTTTAACACATAGATATTGGTACAAAGAGGCACCAAATACACATGCACCACACAAACCCCATTTGATATGTGTGAGGGCTGTGATACTGCCCGGGTGCCCAAACCCATCATCATTTAATAATAATATAATATTCTTATCGTTTTACAAGTGCTAGCCAATTGTTTTAGAATCTCAATACTAATAATTACCGTATAATGTTTGTTAGGTGAAAATATTTACAATGTTTATGATAATCAAGAGGATATTCAAAAAGAAATTCTGATGAATGGTCCAGTGATAGCAAGTATTTTTGTGAAAACAGATTTTTTGATCTATAAATCAGGAGTTTATTTACCAACACCTAGATCAAGTAATTTAGGTTGGATAAATTTACGAATAATTGGTTGGGGTTATGAAGGAACAACACCTTATTGGTTATGTGCAAATTCATGGAGTAAAGAATGGGGTGATAATGGATATGTAAAAGTTCAACGTGGAATACAAGCAGGTTATATTGAATCATATGTTAGAGCACCAATTCCAAAAATATAGACATAAAATTCCATATGTAAATTAAGACTATATAGTTTTGTCTGTTAATTATTAATAATTACTTATGAATTCTTTCTCATTTTTTTAAAACTTACAACGTGTTATGTTCTGCCGTCATCAGATTCAGATATATAACTATCCTTAAGATATATCAGCTACGACATTAACAAAGCGTATTATTAGCTCCATCTAATCATGTGCCTTGTTTATAATTTCATCTTGAACACAGATATTTGATATAACTAGTTTCACCCAGCCTATCACAACGAAATTATTACTTATATTAGTCTAAATCAAAGACCTTTTGTTATAACACCTTTATTATTCGTGTATATCGAACATGGGTATCATATCACTTCACTCCTTAAAGCTTTTATTTATCATCTACTTCGGAATACAATAAGAACATTACTGTCGCGAATCAAAGTTTTATTTTGTGAGTACATTGAACCACACAATTGTACTGATATTACGGGTTTGGTTATATGGTGACTGCAACAGTATGTTGGTTTAGAAATTTAAAGCTTGCTCTAAAACTGTACTATTATTAGATTAAAATAATCAGTACGTCTTCATAACCGAACTTTGGAGTACACGTTAAACCATATAATTTCACAGGAAATCAAGAGGAAAATAATCATTTAGGGTTACCGAAAGAGAATGAATGTTAGGTATCCGTGTTTGTGGAAAAAAAAGACGTTTGATGATTTGTATTGAATTTTGCAAAACCCAAGAATAGCTGTAGTGTAAAAAAAACACAACGCAAAAATTTACACAGGATACCTAATGTCGAGAGTTGCATTTTTCCAACCTCTCTGAGGATCTAACAGGAAGAGATTGATAAGAGCTAAAGATAAATCAATGATAGCAATAGATCTAGAAAGTAAGAACAAGCACCATAAGTATCATTAGACACTGTAGCTGACTTTAAATGGTGACAAAAATGATCAATTAACAGTTTTACAAGTAGTAACACTCATAATTTAAGCGGTAGTTAGAATAAATTACCCCATCGACGGAAACTTTCATTTTATTTAATATACATACATTCTGGTACAACTGTAGACCAAACGTGTTAGCACCATACAACTAAACAAATAACAGCAGAAATAACGGAGAGTGACTACGATGCATGACAGTGGGTCCGGTTCAAATGACGAGATAACCAAAAAGGACATCTTATAACTTAATGAGTTCCTTTTACTTTATGACGAATCTGAAAAAAACTACAGCTGAATCCCGCTGATGTCTAATCAGGGTCATGTCCGACAATCCTTCAAGCCAGAGTGGCACAGTCCCAATCACCCCCAAACGTGGAGTCATGCCGAAAGGACATATACTAGCTTTATACAGATACTTTTCATACCATAGTGCCATCATCTGAATTGGCCATCTCTCCACTTTTCTTCATTCATTACAAACATCCAGACATGGTGTACGACATAGAGGTCGCTGGGATGACATTCTTTAAGCATTTCAATGCCACCGAAATCGATAGTAACAGCAATTCAATTATCGTTACTACACTCGGACACACATTGCTGAATCTCGGAATTAACATGGCGCTGAGACCGAATGTCAGCGATCCTTAGGATATGACGATCGTCAAACACGGAGAGTCGCCGAGCATCCTCAAATTGGAGAAGTCACGTCTCATAAACATGTAGCAAAGCTGCTCCCAAACAGTACTTTGTAAACCTGATCTTCTACAAACAAACTAAAATCACGATAGCGCCAAAGATGACTCAGATCAGCATAAGCCGCTCTCATTATACGTAGATTGATTTCACTTGTTACGTCATCATAAATACAAACAACTAGTTAAGTACATAAGCTTTTCAATTAATTTTAACAGGACACAAAAAGTGAGTGTAGGAACAGGTTCCGGCCAGTTTCACAGAAGTGCTTTGAATTTAGGAGCAATTTATATACTTCACTTACGAACACTAACTACAAACTGATTAAGTGTAATTCCCATAGTTTGTGTAACAGCGCACAGTAAGACATCATCACGTACTTAAAGTTGGAAAGTCATTCATCAGGAAACTGTATACATAAGGTAAAACTAAAATCGTACTAATTGAAACTTTGAATATATTATATTAGTTTTTAAAATAAATAACGATGAATATACAAGAAACAGATACACGAGATTTATATATTACATTTGTAAGATTACATAGTACTGTACGAAAGAGATATATATATATATCATATGGTACAGTAAATACATATCTCTTTCAACGAAAAATCATTTGCTGTTATGTTTTCTTCTCTTCTTTAAAGGTGAACAAATTGATAGAAAATTAGGATTGGATACATTTGTATTAGTTAGAGCAGTATATAATCGATTTATTGAATTGTTCCGTTCATATATTGAGAGACATAATTCATCGACTAAATCACAATAATTGTAAAACAAATGAACAATAACAAATGTCAAATTTAAAAAATATCTCTAAATAGTTAACGATGGTAAGAGTTAAGAATGTAGTTGGTAATTCATGTACACTTTAATCTCTAACCATTGGATTTATACGTTCGAATGTAGTTGGAAACGCAAACACGTATTTACTCATACAATAATAATAAGAAGAAGAATAAAAATAATAATGTAACTTAACTATCAAGCACAAATTCATGTGTCCGGTTTAGTGACATTATGCGTCTACTACAAAATGAATTAAGTAGAACCGAGTTTAAACCAATCACCTACCTACTACTACTGGTCAATTTAATCGTTAAGCTGTTGTACTTATTTAGATTATTGTATTTTTGATTACTTCTCCGATTACAAATTCCGTATACGGATAAATAAAACGTCTGGAAGTAACGAACTGACGTTAATTAGCTTATCACTACCCTGGTAACCCTTTATTATTATTATTGTTTTATTTTTATTTATTTTAAAATATTTATATTCCTCCCCTATTACATAATTCTTAAACCACATTATTATTTACGCATTTCCACCACCTGATCCTCCTAAATTATCTTAACTTTTCATATTCTATTTAATTATTATTACGTAACCTATCTTATGATTATTCAATTGCATTATTACACCACCCAACCCGAATTAATTCCTTTTGACCTCTGACCTGTTCTAGCATATATATATATATATATATGTATATATATATATATAGTTATTATTGTAACCCAGTTATTTACACTCATTTATGTCAATTGTTTTCACTCTATCTCCATGTAAAAATGCAATCACATTTTTTGGTTTGTAAGCAGCTGATGAGAAACCTCGAAATAATATGAATTCATACTATTCTGCACCAATATTTGTTCTTGCTTTATTTAAGAACTGACGATATTGAATTTTATCAAATGCACCAGATATTACTTATTACTGATGGAATATTTCCCTAGTTGTATATTATACAATTTGATCATATTTTATGTAGACTTGAAAAGTCTTTGTGTTCTAATTTCTGTAGCACATAAAAAAAAATAAACTGTAGATACTGTGTTTATTTTAGGAGGAAAATCAGCAAGTTTTGTTTTAAAACAAGCTGACAATTTTACAAAAAATGAAGTATACGTTCAAGGTAGGAGGAAGGTGTTGAGATAAGTAGGCAGGTTAACACATCACTTACAATTGCTACATATGATATTTTCAACAAACAGATCTTACAGAGAGGTATATCCATTGATAAAGACATTAATTTGAATAACCCCTGTTTTTATGATGGTATACTTATTTTATGGGACGTAAACTATAGATCAGTTTAATGAAAACATTTACCTTTTTATGCTCAACTTTATTTATGATGTTACATTTTAAGTAAATGTACATTCTGAAAATGATAATTGTGTGTCAAATGAAAACTAGGTGACATAATTCAGAAATCGCTAATACTTTATTTCATAGATTTTAACAAGCAATTAGTGATATAACACACTGTATGGTCGGAAAATATAAACTAAACGATAAAAATAACAGTTAATTACTTAGAACGACATGTGAATTTATACATATAGAATTCTAAATAGTTTACATATAAACACTTAACTTTTCGCCTTTAGTTAGCTACTTTTAAACGTCTAGATTGATCATGTATTTTTTTTAGTTCACTGAAAATTAGTAAATTATTGTTTCATTTAGGATAATTAAAATTTATGACATTGCCTCATATGTTTCTTCCTATAACAATATAAAATTTTATAGGCAGTATGGACCATCGCTAACACAATAGCTCATCAGTAATAAGAAAACGAATAAATCTAAGTTCAAAATCAGCAGTATAATTGTTTTTATTCCTTATTCGATTCTTTTTCTGTATATTTATATACTACTTACTAATATTCAGTGACTAGTTTCAATTTTGATAACTTTTGAACATTCTATGTGTAGCAGTTTTCATGTTCTCAGTTGTTAACAGTTTTTGTTTTAATTATTGACAATCACTACAAATGCGCTAAACACCCCAAACACCTCACAAATAGAGATATGTAACCATTTTGTGTATATTTGTGTAATGGTAATATCGCCTTTTATATAAAATTTACTTTTGATCCGGATTTTTCTCTCTTAACTTCATCTTGTGGTCAGACGCTCTGATAAGATTTTACAATATTGTTATGGAATTACAACATATTGGGACAAATAATAATGAAGCATTTAAACTGTACAATTGGACTAGTCATTTGTCACGAACAGATAGAAAAGTGACATATATCCGAGGTTCTAAGTCTGCAAAACATTTAATGACCTTCAGATAGTAATGGATACCGATAGATCGTACCGTATGTAATTTCTAATGATGTTCATTTTGTCTAAAATTTACTTTTGTATGAGAAAGTGCCTCAATCTTTTGTAGAAAGAAAACGACTGATGTTGTACGGTTGATTGATCCGTTATTTTCTATTGTCAATTATAATTGTAACAAAACAGTAGATTCAGTTTTGTGAGCAATTGTTGGTTGACTAAATCATAAAGTTAGGCTTTACTAATCGATTAGAATTTTGTGCATCATTTTAACAGCCAAACAATGCTCATCAGTCACAATTCTTCACATTCCAGGAGGATGTAAAAAGTCTACTAGAGAGAAGGAAGATAACTTAGATTTTGATACATAGGTGATTAATTTAAGCTTATTGAAAGTACAGATGTGACGGACGGGAAGATATTGAAAAACACAAATGAAAAAAAGTAGATCTCTCAACAATTGCAATAACAAAAAACACCTACGTTAGTATGTAAGGATTTAATCTAGTTTTAAAAATGACAGTGACCTAAGTGAACTGTTTAACTATACTTGACTGTTACGATTTCGCGGTTTTTAAAATAGGCAGCAACGTCAATACTGTAAACGAAGAAATGTAATGCAAGATAATTGCGTTAAAACCGGTCAATGTAATGTCACCTTTATGAAAGAAAAGAACTATACAAAAAGATCCAAAGTCTATGGTTTTATCTTTTAAACGCCGATTATCAATAATTAATTCATCAATATAAATCATTTAGTATAGCCATAACATGAAAGCGGCTAGAAAATATACCTCATTTTAGAAGAATCCTATTGAAGCTAAGACTCACCTGACTTGACACCATAAACATTTTCCAGAGTTTGATTGATGTGTTTCTTCATATTCTTTATATTGTCTACAATTGAGTTGATCTTAGCTGTTTCTTGTTCAATTTTTGTTAGACATGTTTTAAGCTGAAATCATGATAAAAAGTTCGATAGAATATATATGATACATAGACAAATAATTTATATATTGCACACGAAGACCAAGAAAATATGTGGTCTGCTGTCTTCTATGAAATCAAAAAAATAGAACACAGTTTACGAATCACTACTGAAGTTTTGCACATCCTTATAATTTATATATACTACTGAATTAATCTGGGTAAACTATATTAGTTATTAGAAAGGGTTCTCTAAAACACCTTTTTACAATGTCATCTTGTTGAAGAGTAATTCAACCAAGTATATAAAACGTATTTTTAGTAAGTTGTGGAAATTAGACAACTTAGTGGATCATATATTTAGTGAGATAGAGCAAAAAACGAATTAAAACCTTATTTCTAAAAGTTAAAAATCATATTTATGAGGAAATTTAGCCGTTACAGGGATAAAGGAAGTCCTAAATATAGGTCCCAAAGTTTTTAGGATTGAGGTATATTTTAAGCAATAAGAACACCAATAATATCACTTGAGAGGGGCGGTGGTTCAGAACTGTTGCTCAGACCTACATTTACAAACTAGAAACAATGAATAGTTCACTTGTAATGTTTCAGTTGAAGTGGTTAAGACATCTATGACATATATCAAATCAAAACCTAGCATCACAGGTGTTTTTGGGTGTAAGGTGGAAGAGAGATAGAGATGGTCGAATTAAGAGATGGCATCAGCTCATGAAATCATCGAATGTCTGACTGAGTCATGTAGGTAGGTGCAGACTACCGGATTAGGGTCAAAACGATTATCGTAACCAATGGTTGGAGATGTTGGGTGACATGGCTTGTGATCGATTGAAGTGGGACAGATCCACTCACTCTTGGTCTTCCCTTAGATCTTGAGTTTGTAAATTATCATATTGAGTAGATTTCTTCTTTCCTTTCAAATTACATTATTCGTGCTAAATATCTCCTACTGCTACTGATACTATTGTTTCTTATGTCCCCCAAATGCCCTGGTACGGCGGAGGGTGGGGAGAGTCAGCCCTCCCTCTCAAAATGATCTAAAGTGCATACAACTACTGCCAGAGAAGTCCTACTCACCACCTTCCCGTGACGGGAGTGTTGTTTACGAAATTGAGAGGACAAAAAGCGAATGTCCGGCGCTTTAACCGGATCTCAAACCGATGGTGCACATGGGCTCCAGGATCCTGAGGGAACAAATGGCGTGTGAACTAATCATTGGTCACCGGCCACCATGAGACTGAGTCTTCTGACGATGCTCTACTGCCGTGTGGATTGGACATGTAGGTCAAAGGCTCTGGATGTGGACTTCTAAGAAAACCACCTACTTCGATTTGGGTACCCCAGCAGTATTACAGTCTACACACAAATCAAGTGACTAGTGTGGCGCATATGTATTCGATGATCCTTTGTACCAATATTTATGTGTTCAAATAAATAAATAAATAAAATATGCTACTCTCGGATCTATCGATATAGCACGGCAACTTGAACTAATGTACATATGTACCATGTTCTACAATGATCATGACTGACCATTCCGATAATAGGAAACACGAAATAACAACAGATACTCACAAGTTGTAAAATCAATTGGTTATTTGCTATAATAGTATAATGAAGCAATTTATAATTTGGTAACTAAATCAAATTTTTAATCGCAACAGTTCACCTAAATGGTTATTTATACTTAAAACGTATGGTGAGCATTAAATTAGACAAAGAACAACTTAAAGTGACGAATATTTATCATAACGAGGCATTTTACTCACCACTGTAATTCTATTCGTGTAAGTGATAATACGATTTTCAATAGCTTTGTCACGTTTTTCAGAGTAAACTAACTGGAGTTCATCATCTTTAAGAACTACTGAAGAATTCAGATACAGTACTTTGCCGACTAAAAATATCTGAAATAATCTGATTTATATTCATTGCGATATATTTACATCGAAAGAATCAAACATGTCTACAAGACGGTCTTCAAGTCTTTCTTTTAAATAATAAGTGAGCGATTGAAGTTTTTCTGACGTAAATTTTAATCCAAACTAAAAGAAGGCCATTATAAAATTAACAGGGAAGAGACCAAACTTTATCCAATAACTTCTCACTGAATTCATCTATCATTTGTTCCAAATGAGTAATGATCACATTGTACACTAAAAAGAATGTTGAATAATCACAGAAATGGATTACAATCATCTGAAAGTTGAAGAGGTGCAAACCCAAGTAGCTTTGATACATATTCTTGCGCAACCTCAATTGGAACGGACACCGTCTGTACTTCACTTTCGTGCATTATGAACAACCAACCAACACGAATTTATTTATGTCTAAATAAAATTCACAAATAAGTGAACAAGAGAAGTTAATTTTAACATCATTACATGTAAAACAAACAAAAATCCAAAAATTACACATAGTGGGAGATTTTATATATGTCACGTTGATTGATTCCAAGTTTTCAAATCATTTGCATTTTATTGATTTATGGTGTACACAGTCGATTATGCACACAGAAAAAACTGTTATTTGGAGTGAGAGGAATATTTTTCATAAGTAGATAGTTTATCATGTTTTTGTGTGTGGGCTGAGATACTGCCCGGGTGCCCAAACCGAAGCAGGTGGTTTTCTTAGGGGACCACTCCCCGAGCCTTTGACCTAAAGGTCTAACCCACAAGGCAGTGGAGCATCGTGAGGAGGTGTAGTCTCATGGTAGCCGGTGACCAGGGAATTGGTTCATACGCCATTTGTTCCTGCAGGATACTGGAGCCGATGTGCACCATTGGTTTGGGATCCGGTTAAAGCGCCGGGTATTCGCTTTTCGTCCTCTCATTTTTGTAAACAACACCCCCGCCACGAGAAGGCAGTGAGTAGGACTTCCCTGACAGAGGCTTTATACGCGTGGCCGTGTGAGAGTATTTCGAGAGGGAGGGCGAACCCACCCCGCTCTCGGCCATACCAGGGCATAATAATAATAATAGTACAGAAGAAACTGAGTAAAACTGATGTGCCAGGTAACGTGTCATGCAAATTAAGACGATAACATTGTGAAGAAATGAGATAGGGCATTTAATTTAGTAATGAACTTTTAAAGCAGTCTAAGTAAGGGTAGAAAAAAATAAAGTCTTCGTTTTGTTCAGAAGTTAATTTTATTGTACATGTAAACAAGTAAAGGAAACCGAAGTAATATTTTAGAGGTACATTTGACGGTGTTTCAAATAATTGAGGTGTGATGTTTTTGACTGTAATTGGGGGGGGTGTTGCATGTACCAGTACATGTAAAAGTCTCATAAACCTATTTTCATTTAAAGGGGCAAAATAACAACGAGCATTTTGTGCTACTTTTGAAATTCCGATTAACATTATTCTAAGTGCTTTGAAATAATAGTGAGAATTGTTGACTAGGTTTTTTTGCCAGCAAGATATCTAGACCAAAGATTGGGTAAAGTATTTGACATTGACTTAGAGTAGATAAGTCACTCGAATAACCACCATCCGTTATTAACCTAAGTGTTATGCTGGGTCTCAAACTAAGAGTGGTGTCATGAAACTCGTAATTAACCTGAAGAGAGAAGCAGATCCCGACATTTTTTGGGGTTCGTGGTCTTGTTTTATTAGCAAGATTACTAAAAAATCTCTTCGTTAAATTTCAGTGTAAAGCAAACTAGTACCTAAAGTGGGTACGTCATGCGGAATTGGTCGATCTTAACTAGCTATTCAATTTTTACACGATTTTCCTATGCGCATACAGATTCCTAGGGGTAACAATTTTTCATCACTAACCTTTTTTAGACTAAAATTAACCGATAAACTTGACTCAAGTGACGTGAAATTATTTTGTGAACAACTTGAGTGCATATACACAATAAAAAATGACAAGCATAACCTTACGATTGATTTGAAAACCGAGTTAAAAGGACTGACTTTTGTTTTTTCTCAAAAGTCCTAGAGGAATTATGTAAAACGAACGCACAAAGCTGATTTGTCCTTTACGTCACCCGCAGAACAAACGACGTGTTCATGTGACCATTAGAGTTAATATAGAGCGGTTCATTTTGTTACTTTGTGGATACATGATTTTTGAAAGCTAAAAACACTTATAGATTGCAATTACCCGATCATGGAGACTGCTGTCCTACGAAGGAACAACTTATAAAGTATACATCAATCTTTATACTGTGATTCTTATTTATTTATTTTACTTATCACATGTGTCCCAGTGCAACATGTGAAAGAAGTGACTAGGTAAGATCCTGACCGTGAATCATCCTTACTAGATCTTGTATTGACCCATTATGAGGATGACGTTATGAACCTCAATTACATGCCATCCCTAGGTAAAAGTGATCATGCAGTTCTAATCTTTGACTTCAATATAGTTGCCAAAAACGAGCACGCGTCAGCCCAACCCAGACCTAACGTCTAGAAAGCATCATCAGCAAATTGGATAATAGAGCCCGATTCCCTAATTGAAACAGCTCGGGATGTATTTTGAAGTTTGTACTTAAAAGTTACTGCATCCCACATCCCTTGAACTACACCAAGGGGTCCGAAAAATTCTCCACTATGGTTCAGTAGGGAGGTTCGCACTCTTCTCCGTAAGAGAAAAATATGGGAAACATTTAGGCTACTGGATATTGATGAAACAAAATCGCAATATCGAGAAGCTTGAAGTACGTGTGCCTCAGTAAGTCTAAAAGGTTGTGCGAAAAGCGTCAAGGAATCTATAGAACGCCCTAAACGCTTGCATTCGTATATAAGCCAAATGATCAAAAGAAGAGGAAATATTACAGAACTATGGGGAGACAGTAATGTTTCATCGTTAGCGGAGGACGACTATGGTAAAGCTCAAGTTTTCCCAAACTACTTTAGCATTGTATATACCGTAGAGACACCCTTCCCGTAAGTTCACAGAAATCCCACATAGATTGTACAATGTAACCATTAAAGAACTCGATGTATTTGATCTACTAAATAAGCTTGATATAGGCAAATCCACATGACGTGGGTGCATCAGTCTCCTAGGACTAGACATCGACCATTTTGTGACCAAGTATTGAGACCGTCTAGCAAGACCTCATCTAGCTTACTGAGGTAGACCAAACCAATCAGTAACTCATGTCCCTTGCATTTCAGGCGGCAACTAACTAATTCACACGTCCCACCCTCAAGAGATACATTGTCGACGATGGTAAGTGGGATAGTATTCTCAATGAATAGAGCTACTCCTCCTTTACGCTTCTGGATTCTGTCGGCTCTTACTAACATGAAACCATCAAAATTAAGTTCCATACTATCTATAGACTATATCAGCCAAGTTTCTGTGACTGTGATTACATATGGTTTGGTAGAGTCAATCTGTACACCTAGATCCGATCACTTATTGAGCAAGCTTCGGGCATTTGTGTAACAGATTCGAAGTCTATTTAAAATGGCTTCGTGCTGCACCTATAGTTGCTTCGGCATTATTCTCTGTCGAGGCCTCACAAAACGAAAATTTACGATCTCCAGGTCCTTTTCGCCAGCATCTAATCTAAGTTTTAATCCTTTTTCGACTTCTCGTCTTCTTACACAGTCTGCTAGTGGCAAGTTTCTAGGGACGAAAGCCCTTGACCTCTTTAGTTTATGTCCATTTTGTAGTATTAAGTCCCGTTTATTGGGAGATTTAAATACTACTTTAAGCAGCCTGGTTTGATTCTGTTTCAAGTTCATTTGACTACCTAGTCTACGCATCTTTAGCAAGGTGACTGTGGAGACATCGTGATGCATCAGCTGATTTAGTAGCTGTTTTACCAACCCAATGTAATGCTCAAAATGAGTTTTAGGTTCTGAGCTTTCACTCTCCTTGATTCTATAGAAGATAACTGACACATCACTATGATCAATTTTTAATTTCCCGGCTACCTTTTGGGGGATTGGCTTCTCATTAATAGCGTTATGTCGTTTCTTGTTCTCGATCTGTACCAATTCATAGATTTTCGTTAGAGCAGCAACCACAGTCGCGCCAAACACTGTGGAATTCCGGAAGATTATCGATAGCTTGGGCGGCCGGGTCTTTTTCCTGCGGTTTTAGGCGTTTTCCGCTGACTACCATTTAGAGAACAGGGAACAAAAGAAACTTCCTTTCTGGAGTTCTTATTTCGGACAGATCTATTTGAAGTCCGTCTTTCCTCCTTTGATCCATGTAAGTCAACTGTTACTGAGCTTATTTGAGGTGCATTCACGTCAATTTGTGTATCGACAGAGTAAGTACTGTCCGATGTGCATCTACCTCATTTGCAAATACACTTTTTAACAGCGTTTACCAATGAAATGGCCTCGGTTAGCAAGCTGTTTGTGTTTGAGCAGCAATGCTGACAAAACTACACGCAACCACTTTTACTAAACCGTTCTAAAATCGCAGGCGTTAGATTCGTGCAAACTTCGTGGTACTATCATTTGCACTCGTCGCACGGAATGCCGCTTTCAACGGGGTATCGACAGCTTGGGCGTTGACAATTGCTTTTCTTGAACTGTCTAGTTATCAGTTTCCAAAAAGCTAGATACGATAGAACCCAGGGACAAAAGAAACTGATCACCAAAAATGTGGAGAACTGTAAATTGTTAGAACCGAAAGTGCTAACAAATACAATAGAAACAAAATACTCAAAAGTACCGACGATAAACTATTTAGAAACAAAACCGATACTCTTAGCGAGTAACTTAACTGGAATAAATTCAACTGAAGTGAAAACAGTGGTTTTGATACGTAACAGACGATGAAAATAATAAAATTTACTCAGTGAGGAAGAATATCAGTTTATTTTAAATAGCATGCGTTCCCATGGATTTGGCAATAGCTCCTTTAGAACTTGTTACTTGCATAGAGTGTGAGCTTTGCTTCTTTCTGGTGTTCTCTACGTCGACCGATGCGGCATGAAGAACGGAAATTATGTAGTACTAACCCGAGCTGCCAATTTTGGGAACTTCCGAAGTCAAATGACCTTGATCAGGGTCAATGGGGAATTTCCCCAGGTCTGGGGAAATTTTGGGGTTTGGGTCTCATTTCTTCAAAATTCACTATAGGGGCTTCACCAAAATGGGCCAAATTTCCCCCAAAATTGGCAGCTCGGGACATTACTGTTTAAATACCTACGGTAAATATGGTGCAGTTAATTCGAATATTGCGTAAAACTAGCGGATGACTATGAACACAAATCTATATAATTCTGCATTGAACCATGTGTAAACTACCATACTACTAAAGACCGACCAAAAATTTGACGAACGGATGAGTCAACTACCTCGAAAAGCCGCCAAAACCACAAGGGTCGTCGGTCGATGCATTTTAAAACTGTATGATTGGATATTGTTTGGGAGTAGACATTTTAATGAAGAATTATATTTATGCATTAACATTCCTTTAACACCTATAAGTCCTGGTGTATTGGATAAACAGTAGACTAAATAAGAGGTAAGGTTGTTGGATCAATCACTGTACTTCAGAAGAGGAAAATGATTCTGTTTTGATTAAAATCCCACGAAAATCACTAGAACTGGCAAGGTATTCCGCTCTTATGTGCTTTATTTACTTAGAAAGCTACTCATGGTAGATATACTGAATTGAGATGTGAGAGAATGTTGTTTACAAATAAAGATAGCTTTAGAAAACGTGCACAATTCGTGACGGGAGCATAAGGATCATTATGCATAAGGAACATTGTTTTTTGAAATAAAAATTCGACAGAAATATTGAAAGGGGAGTATAAGTAGTTGTAAACTTCTAATGTACTATAGTTGAACAGGAGTGGTGTGTTTTCCACCTTATGTTGTCTTAAGTCGAAGTTGCCACAAGCGATAATTTCCTTGCTTCCCGTATCCTGAAGTAGCATTCAGGTTATTCTACTTCCACGCCCCAATTTGACAACGAATAAAAGCTCAGTAAAGTAATATTGTATGTAAGGGATAATATATTAGAGTGTAGCGGTGAATAAATCCCTAAAATAAATAGCTCTGTAAGTTTTCGACATTGGATGCTGACCATATGTTTTAGTGGACTCATCTAGCTGAAGGCGCTCGGTCAGGCATCCGCACCAGACCACGTGTGGTAACGCCGTGCTCAACATCAACCGCAACCGCTAGCCAGATTAGATCAGAGAATTCCGATATATTGGTCATCGCCAAATATACTCTTCCGATCTCCTCGACTCTGTCTTTTGATTTCTCTGGGCGGGAACGAAATATATTAGAAGGTGTTACTGGTAGAAGCGTTGTCAAACACTGAATACCTGTGACATCATCAAGAGAAATAAAGAGTATGAACAGACAACCTCAGGGATTGATCCATGCCATTTAATTGATCAGTTCACTTAGATTATAACTGATCATGGTGAAGTGCGCTTAAAGATTCATTGTATAATGATCAGCATCTTAACGCGGAAACTGTTTGGCTTGATTGATTACTGGCTGGGGCTCAGAAATAATTCACTGCCTGAGCCGATTCTATACTAATATTGAACTTGTAACAGCATAGGTTGGTTGGTTAAGAGTTGACCTCAAACAACCAAGCATATGCCAAAACAGTACAGGTCAAGTATTCATTCACTTCCTTATTTTGCATAGGCGTTATATTTCCTATTATCTTATATTGAATGTTGAGAGGCTTTGTTTGTATGAACAAATAATCCCACGCCCCACTGTGACTGAGCGAAGATCGAAATAAAGACCTGTTCACTACTTGTCTGGTTTCTTCTATCAATAGCACGAGGGTTACCCTAAGGCACGAAAAACTATTACCCTCTCTGACAAATAGTGATAACAGTTTGTTGCATTGTAGGTTATGAACATACACTATTGAATAAAAATCTATCCCACTCCCCGAAGAATTGATGTACAGTATCGCCAGTAATCATGCACCACGTTCTATTAATAGGAGGTTCGAGTAATTTTGTTCCACCAATCGAAAAAGTGTGCACTATGTGTACGTCCAGCCTAGAAGAAACAAAGGGCTCATTCATCATACGTTTAACTTCATATGGTTAATAACATTACTCTCCATAGCACAATAAACCAATCCAAAAGTTTGCATAGGGCAGGAAACATCACTGAAACAGGTTTGTCGAAACTGGTTAGATTACTTTAAGATTACAAGTATATGGCAAACAGAAATCGGCAGATCAGAGACTGATTTTCAAGCAATCTTGGATTTGAAGGACAAGATGTACTAATAGTGATAATACAGAGGTTTGAAATGGCTCAGACAAATTGATTCCTGGTATGTCGATAGTCACCAGTAAAACATAGGTATGTCAGTGAGGTTTATGAATTAAAGCAGTTTGGAATGAGGAGTAAATATTGCAGTTACTTTGGACACGCGTGCCCTTACAGCTGTTACCATTCGTAGAGGAGCATAGGCCTCTCACCAGCACTCTTCATCGAACTCTGTAGGGTAATTCCCTCCAGATGTTTCAAGTTGCTATTCATTCTTTTTATGCCTGCTTCCAATTCTGGACGCAGCGTGTTCTTCGGCCTTCCTCTTTTCAGTTTTCCTTCATCATTCCTGCTAAGCGCTTGTTTTGTGATGCAGTTTGGTGATTTCCGTAATGTTTCATCAGAATTGTCTTGATATTCGTATTGAACATTCTGAATTTGCTGTTGATTGACAGTTGTTGTGAGTTCCATATACTCTCCAACTGTAGGGATTCTTTACTCACTCTTACATTCCTTGCCTTTACGTCTGCATCAGATCCTCCTCCTTGATCGATGATGCTATCCAGGCGCGTGAACGTTTCCACATCATCTGGAACCCATCCATCAATCGTGATTTGGTTGCTGTTTGCCGTGTTGTATTTGAGGATCTTGCTTTTTCCCTTGTGTATGTTACGGCGTACAGATGCAGAGGCTTCTTCTACACCAGTTGTCTTCATTTGTGGGTGTGTTTTGGATAGAAGAGCTAAATCGTCTAGTTGGATGGAAGCTATCCATCGTATGCCGTGCTCCACCTGAAACGTGGAGGTCTTCATAATCTAGTCAACCACCAGAAGAAAGAGGAAGAGGGAAAGCGCACAGCCTTGTCTGACACCGGTACTCACTTGAGACGCATCTCTCATCAGTCCTCCATGCGTGACTTTGCACTCTAGTAAGTCACATAAATTTCACATGATGTTGATGATCTTCTTAGGCACAACATAGTGTCAAAGAGCGTCCCAAAATGTCTTCCTATCTACACTGTCAAATGCTTTCTCATAATCAAAGAAGTAGATTTATAGAGACGAGTTCCGCTCAGTTGACTGTTCAACTATGATCCGTAGTGTCGCGATTTGTTCTATGCACAACCGATCCTTAAGGATTCCGGATTGTTGATTTAGAAGTTGGGAGTTTGCTGAGTCATTCATTCGGTTCAGCAAAACTACTGAAAACCTTTCCTGGTACTGACAATAATGTGATACCTCTGTAGTCTTCATATTGGCTCAGATCTCTTTTTTGTTATCTTGATGAGGTAACCTTTTCATTACATCGGCACTCGTTCTTCCTGAATAGAACGTGGGGCATGTTTGCAGTTACTTCTATGTCTGATTTGAGTGCTTCCGCTGGTTTATTATCAGGTCCTGCTGCTTTCCCGTTACTGATTTGTCTGATTACTATCCTGATTTCCTTGATCACTGATGAAGTGACAGCCGTAGGAAGGTCTGTGTGTGGTGCTTCAATATCTGGTGAATTGAATGATTCTGATCTATTCTATCTCTGGTTTACTAATATTCCCCTGCTAGTTTTTTCGTTGTGTCACATAGTTAGTTCGTGTTTCCTTCTTCTGCAACTTTATTCTCTGTCTTTGCTAACTGTTCCACGTATTTTTGCTTGTTGACTCTAGTGCTCTTTTTCACTTGCTTGTTTGTTTCGGTGTATTCAGCTTGTTCCTTGAATTTCTTTGTCTTTGTTTTCGTATTTCCTTGGACAATGTAAATGCAACACCATGCGTGTGCGGAGCATTTTCTTCTCCATTATTTGAGCAAAACAGCACCTATCCCGAAGCTAAACGTTTATGTCCAGCTTGGGTCCAATGGGTTTTGTTGATTCCGAGAACTGTCAAGTTGTTTCCTCATTTCTGCAGCTATTCGCTTGGTCCTCCTGATCTCCCTCATTATCCGAATCTTGCATGTATCTACGTTGATTGTTACTACGGTTGTTAGAAGAGGCATCGTCCTCGTGAGTTTTGAAGAATCTCGGCTTTCACCTTGAGGCGTCATATGTCTTCTATATGACGATTGTTCAGCTCAAAGAACAGAGTTTCAATGGTTTAAATTATTTATTATGGCTAGCATTTTTCCGCAGAGATGTTTCCTATGGGGTGGGAATGCTTACATTATGCCCGACCCTCCAGCTTTACCCAAATTTGTGACAGGTAATAACCCTGGAACAGCTACAAGAGTGTCCTTGATACGTCGGAACCCAAAACAAAGTATTTGGGCATGCGGTGGTTCCATATATTGTTCTGAACTTAAATGTATATTCTTACATAAAAACGTATTACCACCCCGTTGTTCAACAACTAATCACTCAATAAATAATTATATATTAATTGCGTTAAGTCGATAAGTTGATAAAAAAACACACAAGAAAGCAGTCAAGTCTAGCAAAGAAAAGTTTCTTTTATGTATTCTATTCTTTTTTAACAGATCATGCACATACTGTTTAAAAGTTAGTAATTAACTTAATATAGATATCAAAAACAAAGTTATCAAAAATTACTCGTTATAACACTAAGTGTTTTCAATTATGGAAGTGTGCTTCAGTTCACAATCAAGAAGAATGATGTACATAAGTGTGCACATAGAGAGATTTTCTTATACAACCACACAAATCTTCGAGAAAGAAACCTACTGTCATCGCTATTATGAGACTTGGGACAAAACGTAACAGTATTTGTGAGACACAGCTTGAATACTATCTTGAATTTCAGTGCAGTGGCTGCCATAGAGCCAAGGTACTATCGCCAATTTACAAAGCGTTCAAAGGCTTTGGCACAGAGATGTCTCGTATGTTATGTCTTACTCATACCAGATATGAATACTGAATACAACCAGCCAAATAATTTATCTGTAGATCTTGAAGTTGGATGTTGAATCCTACTCCAGTTGAATAGGAGCGATGCGCTTTTCTGGCTTACATTAAAATTACACCTTGGGTTTAGTACATAACCTGGCTTATCCTACAGTGAAAATCAAGTGAATCTACAGCCCTGGTAACTAGCTGGGATAAATACATTCTTACCAAAACTATACATTTTAGAGGAATTTTAACGAGGAATAAAGTTATAGTACGGACGTATGAACCTTC